CGTAGACCCGATCAAAAGAATAAGACAAACTGTCCATAATTCAAAACGTTTTTATTTGATAAGCCAAGCCTGCAAATTAAAGTATTCTTAAAAATGCCACTTTAGCCAACATCATGTCTTTATTTTTATTTATTTTTTAATGTAAAAGTAGCTCTCAATAATTCATTGCCAACCCATTTTTCAAGTGCTAATTTAGATTTTTGAGCCTCACTTTTCCTTTTTAATTATGCAATAATTGGACTTTAAATTATTGCTACATAAACCTTACTCATTTTGGATTTAGCCTATGAATCCATTGTTGTGCCTAGTTGGAACTGGTCAGACCGATGGACAGCGGGGAGCCCAGCACCAGGCGAGGCGTGGCCGTTCATACTGAGCTTGAAACAGTGGAGGTAGAATCGTAGAAGGAGATGATCGGCGACTAATGAGGCTTGCCCGTTTCAGTTTTTTTTAGTTGGGCCTTCTTGTTTGGGCTTAATTATAGAATGTTGGCCTTCTTTTTAATTGATCAGGCCCAATTGGCCAATCCAATCCATTTATGATATATACCAAAACTATTTGTAGGCATAGATGAAAGGAAAAACTTACGGCTGGTTTCAAAATTCTTCAAACCTTCATCCACGTTCCAACTTCCACCGGACGATGCCTCCACCTCCTGCTGGCTGCTGCAGCATGTCGTGCTGGACAACTTGAGTCTCGGACCTCCTGTGTTGCAGCCTACCGTGCTGGGCTCCTCGCCGGAACGATCAGAACTCGAATGGGACGACTCTTACCCGTGATCAGTGAGTCGTTCTCTTTTTTTTTTCGATTGTGGTGATTGTTGTTATTTATTATTTATTAGTTATGAGTGATCGCTGATGTTGATAAATGATAAGTAAATGGAGAGATTTGATCGTTTAGTTGTCGGTGTTCATCTCTTGCTAGTTGCCACTAAGCATTCTTGATTTATTTTGATATGGAAGCATCATATTCATATCGATCGCCATAACTTATGACTTATGAATTATTGATTTATGTTCTATGAGTTAATAGGCAATTTGGCTTTGAAATGAGAGTTGTGACGGTGATTTGGCATAGATAATTTATGTTGTATGAGTCGTTGGGTCAGGAGTTGTAATTTATCATTTATGAGTTTTTATTTGTGATTTGGGCATTTATGTTTAGGAAATTTTAGAATAAGTGAAAAAAATCAATTAAGAAGATGTATTGAATTATATATTCACATGTATATAATTTTTACGTTTTAGTGTATTTACATATATATTGAATAATTTTTAATATTATTTAATTGAATATTAATAAGCAATCGTTGATTGTCGACAGTCAATGGTGAACGATCAATAGTCGATCCACCCTAGATGAATTTTGGTCCTAGATTCGCCACTACCGATGGATAAGCTTATGTTTATTACGTAGAAATTTTTTTACTTGCATCTTCTTCTTCTTCTTTTCATTTATACGAAATATCTTTCTTTATTCACTTGCATTTATACGAAATATCGTTCTTTATTTTGTTTGAATATGTTTGATTGGTTTAATTTTCAACACAGAAAATGTTATTCTTGTCCATCTTTTATTGGTTGGTAAATGAGTGAGAGAAGGTAGACGAGAGGGTGACATAGAGGGAATTGCTTGTAAAATAAAAACATACCCCTCCCTAAAAAAACGTTTTCCTTGTTTTTAATGAAAATATTATTGGAGATATTACACCGATAATGTGCATATTATATTAATCAAGAACATATCGTGAAATCGAAATATCATTCGATTTATCGAA